TACTAAGACCGACCCATCTGGCACCAACGACCATGCCACATTCAGAGTCTCTTAAATCAGCGGTCCCCAACCCCCGGCCGGGTACTGGTTCGTGAGTCGTTTGGTACCGGGCCGCGAGAGTTGGGGCTTGGGTGTGAAATTTATGGTTTTCAGGGTTTTTATTGTTTTTATCATTAACTCGGGTCTTTTCCCGTGTTTTATGAATAAATCTTCCTTGTTTTGGTACCGGTACTGGTTTTATTTTGTTGTACTAATTTGCGACACCTTAAAGGCAGGTCCGTGAAATATTGTCGGATCGGTCCGTAGCGCAAAAAAGGTTGGGGACCGCTGTCTTAAATTATCTTTCTTCCTCATTGTGATCCTCAGTTTGAAGTTCAGCAAGTCATCTTGACCGGTTTTAGATGCCTAAATGCACCAAGTTGCTGCCAGGTGATTGGCTGAATAGATAGTTGCATGAACAAGAAACTTAACAGCTGTACCTAATAAAGTGGTACTACTAAAAAATCCTTCTGTTCATTATTCGAGGGAAAAAAAGAGGCAACAAAATCCTTTCTACTGCCTCAATTCTCTTAAGACTGTGGGAACAAACATTTGTAAAATATTCTGAGAGCAAAGGCCAAACACAGATAGGAAAACCAGCTCAATAAGGAATGTCTATTGAGGAAAGGAAACCTCCATATTTACCAGGAGCCTTGAACTCTCTGACTCACTCAGAAACAAGCTGGGAAAACCAGGAATTTTCATCCCCTTTTTAATTTTCTGAGCCTGGCAGCTCTCACGGACACAAAAGACTTGAGTTGCTTTTGTTGTGGTAGTAGCGGTGGTGGGCTCAGCGGTCACCATGACAACAGGAAAAGTAGAGGCTCAGTATTTGAAAAGTTGAAAGAGGGGAAGCTTCATGGTGCCTCGGCCCTTCATTCAGAAGGCTCCTCTGTTGTTTCCTTCCTAGCTTTCATTTAGAAAGATGTTTTGACTCTTCAAAGAGCTTTGGGTCTCGGGCTGTGGTTTTCATCGTCATTTCCTGTTGTGTTTTCTCTTTTTGTTCATCAGGAGACGCCACGTACCTTGACATCTTCCGAGAATTTTCGCACATGGCTTCCCACAACCCAGAAAAGCTGAAAAGAAGGAGTTTGCACTTCCGACACTCCTTCAGGTAGTCCTTCAAGAGTCGAGAGAGGGAGAAAATACTTGAAAAATGCAGCTTTCCAAACATTCACCACAGCTGGATTTCAATGAGAGGTGACCCTGAGGAGGAGCCTGATGCTGCTGAATAAATTCAGCCATCACAGTATACTATACAGTCAGTTTTATTCCACAGAGAAAGCTACAAAAAATGCATAAATAAATAAAAGTCACATTTAAAGTTCATTAAAGTGAAGAAATTAATGCATTTTAGTTCAGTTACAACTTTTATTTTGATAAGGTTTTGTTCTATGAGGATCTGCTGGTCTTTTCCTCTCAAATATATATGTGTATAAATACATTGTTAGTTGAGCACTTGTTTTGTATGAACCATCATTTCTTTGCTGATTCATTACATCAATACTTTCCAGTATGTTTGATTGTATATGTACTGCATGCATGTACTCCTATTATATTTCAAGGATAAGAAATTTAATATCATTAGTTATTATCATCTTGATACGCAGTTTTGATCTGAAACAATGTTCTCTTTTTCCTTTGTTTTTGCATCGACTATGCTGGTGTAGTCTTGGTGATGTATTTTTGTCTACTGTGGTGTACCACTATGAAATGCAGTGCTTCTGATGCTGTAAACAAGCTGTAGAGACAAAAATAAAAATGCTAATATATCTGAAAAGGCAAGATGAGAAATGGATGGAAATAAACATCGTCTGTTCGACTCACTCCGTTTTTCCTTGTCGCTGAGACAACAGCGCCTCCTTGTGTTGAAATGTGTGACAAATTGATCTTTTTAATTAGGGAATTATCTAAATACAGTGGAGCCCAATTTCAGTTGACTGTAGTTATACAGTTTATAAATTCAATATGTGTGCTAATAATTTCTAATTTCGCAATAAGTCTTTATTTTTGTTTATTTGTAAATATGATGTTTACAGCCACCTTTCCATGGAATATTTAGCTAGAATAGCATTATCACAAGTTTTAATTAGGAGAACAAAATTCTAAATTTAAAAAATATAAATAAATAATAAGGTACCAGTGGTTAAAATGTGATCTTTCACACACACACACACACACACACACACACACACACACACACATGTATATCCAACTCCATCTCTCTCTCTATATATATATAAAGATGTATATCTATCTATCTATAAAATTCAGTAATTCAGTTCCTATAAATGAATTGATTACACATTATTTTTCTGTTTAATATATTTGTAAGTAATGAAATTAATGGATAGATGGGTGAAAGATAATCTATTTCTAAATTGTTTAATTTTCAAAAGGTGTACAAAAACAATATTAAATTTCCATGGGTTAAAAAAGTACATTTTTAAATATATAAATAACGAATGGAATGTTTTAAAATGCTGTCTAAGAAGATAAAATAATAAAATCACAATTTAATGCTTTATTTCCATGGTAACTGTCCATCAACTGTTTAAAAAAGATGGGCGTAGCCACTGTGGCTTCACCTATCAGATTTTGGACATTGCATTTGGAGGTGGGGTTTGTTCCTTTTAGAACCAGAAGTGACCATATTTAGACAAAAAAAAAGTGCAGTACAAAGTTAGCAGTCTGCATTTTCAAACTGTAATGAGTGCATCTGAGAGATATAAACTTCTACAATTTCACTCACCAAAAGAGAAATGTGGACAGTCAAGGGGTCAAGTTAAGTGACTTCAGCTGAGGTGAGGCCTCTCTGGCAGTTGTTGGCTGAAGCTGTCAATGGAAGCAGCCACACCCTTACATTTAAATGTAAATCACATCAATATAATAATGATAACAATAACAATAATCTTTATCATGATCCAGTGTATACTGACGGTTTTCTTAATATTGTGAACTTGGGGATTTAACTCCTTTTGGAGACAGCCTCAGCCGACCACGGAAGGACTAATTTTTCAGCCATGAACGTTGCTTCTCAATATAAAATAATATAAATAACTGTTAATAACAACATTAACAACCTCGTGCTACCACCTTATAGAAGGTCCTTGAGGCTCCACCAGTACTGAAGAAGGTACAAGTGGCACAGAGGGTGGTCAGGACTACAGACTATGGACAGCAGTTTGTTCAGTGTCCACCTCTCTATCACAGCTTCAAAAATGTACAATTTGCTGCCAATCACAGAGTCAAACTAAGTACAGAAAACTACATTCTGCTCCCCACAGCTGACTGATAGAAACTCTCCATCATTTTGCAGCACACATTAAGGATCTCGGCTTCCTTAGTAAACAGAGCCTGCTCATCTCCTTCTTGTATACAGCCCCTCTAGTAGTCTTCAGTCAAGTACTTGTACTCCTCCACCACATAGACATGTTGTCCCAGGACAGACAGTTCAGCCAGTGCTACTCAGAGAGAAACTACAGGGAAAATGTCACTAATGTAGTTATACGTATATAGTCACAGGGTTAATTATAAGAGAACCAGATTGGTCTAATAAAGATAGGAGAATAAGGCAGAGAGATACACTCGGGAGATACACGATCTTTGACTGCAGGCGACGCACGTGGCCGTTGACGTCCGTCACATCTCGCCGCCGGTTACGTCGGCAGGACAGGAAGTGGAGCAAGCAGACTGTGATGATGGAGCTGTGTCCCGGAGACGGTGCTCATCGGGATGTTATCTGACATTTCGAGAGAAACGACAAGCGTAATGCGGGTTTGTCGCGCGATGTGAGACAGCGGATCGGAGTCAGGTATGACTCAGATATTCGAGAAAAAGCTAGCTGGCTGTTAGCTCGGTTAGCTCTCATCCTTCCAGCTCCGAGCAGGCAGCGAGCAGCTCCGCCGACCCGCTGCTGCACCACACGGAGCCCGGTGAGAAGATGACGAGGCCTTAATATCACACAGGCAACGGTGTGCAGAGTCAGCAAATACAGGTACTGTCAGTCGGGTTTGGGAAAATGCTGCTGGGGTTAGTTACTGCCAGTTAGCGGAAACACACGTTAATGATGTCTAAGTTAAGTGGTTTTAGATGTAGCCCCAGGTTGATAGTTTCTATTGGGTCAAAACACTGGAATCACACTTTTCTGTGCTAATAAATGAAATAAAGGCATCACAAATCTGAATAATAAACAGTATTTAGCAAAGTCCAGGTCTCTTGTGAAAATGTGATCATTTTTGTCCTTTTATTTCATTAAACCCATCAAATACGAGTTTCAGTTCTGGAGATTTAAATGTCCATCCCCAATATCTAACATTTACCAACAACATGTCACTCACAATTAACTTTAACTGATGAAACTCATGCCTAATCGGCTTACAGATTATTTGAATGTTAAAAAAGTACCAGTAATTCCTGTGAGTCAAACTCTCCACTCTGCTGTAAACGCGCACCATGACGGTTTTTTTCTGCTCTTGGCTCTGTGTGATGTATGCTCATCTGTAGAGTGCAGTTCTAGTTGTGTGCCCGGAAGCTCCACCCACCTGCTTTTATGGGAGGGGTCACTAATCAGAAGAAATTTGCTTTACGGGAATCAAATCGGCTTGTTTCAGACTTATGGAATTAGGGATAGCTACCCTGGTACAATCCAAGAATAAAAATACAGAGCCGGAAATTAGTTTAATATGTCCACTATAAAACATAAATAACATCCCAATGACTTGTTGAAATTAATAGAAAACAAATTGGGGAGGAAAAAAAAAAGTCACGGGGTTTAAAAGACCTGATTTTAGGTAGACTATACGAGAATCACTTTCCTGCTAAGGTGAAGTCTACTCCTGCAGGATGATTTTTTCTGCCAAGTACTCCAGAAGAGGAAAATATAAAGCAAATGGGATGTAAAGTAGGTCAAAAGTCAAGCGTAAATAGTACCACTGATCACCTTTGATGTTTGGCACTAATCAGATAATTCTTTAATTGATTGATTATTGCAGCTCCAAACTTGAGGATAAAAACAGTTAACTGCTTCTGTCTGTTCACACATAATTAAACATAAATAAATGAGTAACATACAAGAACACACACACACACAAATATAAATAGAGGCTCTAAAACAAAAGTAACCCACTTCCTGCTCCTCCACAGACATGGCGTCGCAGCTCCAGGTGTTCTCCTCCCCCTCTGTGTCCTCCAGTGCCTACTCTCGCTCAAAGAGACTTAAAGTGGAGAACCCCTCCTGGGATGCATCCGGCCAGCTGGGAGACAATGGTTACTACCAGCAGAGCCCTACCCAGGGAGCTGCACCCTCAACCTCTGGCTCCAACTTTAACCAAGTGTACACTTCCAACCAGGTCCACCCGCCAACGGCCGGCTCAAGGGAGCAGACGGTGGTGCGGGCGGCAGACAGCACGGGCAGCCTTTGCGGGCCTCCTTCATCCTCCTCTTCATCTTCCTCCTCCAGCCGGCGAATCAAGGATGCGGAGTCCTCCTCCCAGCCGTCCGACCTCTACCACAAGCAGTACAGTCTGAAGAGGAAGAGTGAGGAGGTGGACAGCAGCGACAGCGTGCAGATACTGGAGGAGCTCTCCGCCCCCGTGGTCTCAAACCGCACTGGTGGCGGCGGCGGGGGAACCACCACAGCTCAGTCCATAGCACACTCCACCTCCACCACCAAGAGCAGCAACTCCCACAGCGAGGGCGACTATCAGCTGGTGCAGCACGAGATCCTGTGCTCCATGTCCAACAGTTACGAGGTGCTCGAGTTTCTGGGACGCGGCACCTTCGGTCAGGTGGCTAAATGCTGGAAGCGGGGCACAAATGAGATAGTGGCCATTAAAATCTTGAAGAACCATCCCTCTTATGCTCGGCAAGGGCAAATTGAGGTAAGTACATATTGTTAAAATTTTTAAAAAGGAGCCTTTATTAGCATATAATTTCATATAATATGAAAATTGGGAATGGCGGTGGATGTATGTGACATCATAAATGCAATCCTACTTGTGCTTTTGGCATGTTTTCAGCTTGTTTGACCCCATCAGCCTCCACCTTGATTTTAATAAGACATCAATAGTTACCTCAGGACTAGACTACAGCGAATTGAAGCACTGATATATGGCAGGGATTATACTAGATTGTAGACATGGACAGCTGTCGTATTTCCTGTGCAGTTGTCAGGCACGTGGACCTCCATAGAGACGCTTGTGCTCACAATATAACACAATATGAAGAGCATCCGGCATGAAAATCTGCCAAATCAAATGAGCATGGCTACCTGCTGTGGTGATCCCTTGTGCAAATGGGAGCAGCCAAAAGCAGGTTCGGTTCCTTTTATTTGCTTTATATTGTCAGCAGTGTTAGTGGTCTGGCTGCATGGTTGGCAGTTACGGTTGAGATCAACCAACATCCATCTACGGGAACAGATACAATAACCTGAACTTTGGCCACTGACTGAAATATCTAATTTATTTGATTGCCGCAGAATTTTGTACAGGTTTTGTTTTATATTTTTTAATTGGAGGATGAATCCTACTGACTCCTCTGATCCTCTGTGTTGTTTCTGCCATAGGGCTGATATGTGATTTTGAGTACCGGATGGTACCGAAGATAAATTCTGTGAACCTTTATGTTTTGGCCTGTTAAGGAAGATGTTACTTTCGCATTCATTTTTCTGTTTATTACCACATAATACCATCTTCCCCCTACTTGCAGGTGAGTATCCTCAGCAGGCTGAGCACGGAAAATGCCGATGAGTTCAACTTTGTCCGCTCGTACGAGTGTTTCCAGCACAAGAATCACACGTGCCTTGTGTTTGAGATGCTGGAGCAGAACCTTTACGACTTCCTGAAGCACAGCAAGTTCAGCCCTCTGATGCTCAAGTGCATCCGGCCGATCCTGCAGCAGGTCGCCACCGCGCTAATGAAGCTGAAGAGCCTGGGGCTGATCCATGCCGACCTGAAGCCTGAAAACATCATGCTGGTAGACCCTCTGAGGCAGCCATACAGGGTGAAGGTCATTGATTTCGGCTCGGCGAGCCATGTTTCCAAAGCTGTATGCTCAACTTACCTGCAGTCTCGATATTACAGGTGAGCATTTTTGCCTAGAGCTATGAAATATCTTGTGAATTACTTGCTGTGATCTTCACATTTATCGGCTTTGATGGGCCTACAGAGCTCCAGAGATTATCCTGGGCCTTCCTTTCTGTGAAGCCATCGATATGTGGTCTTTGGGATGTGTCATTGCTGAGCTGTTCTTGGGATGGCCCCTTTATCCCGGGGCCTCAGAGTATGACCAGGTCATCTGCAGCACCCTTATACACACTGACATTTACATAAAAATCAGACACAGCTGCCTGTCTTGGGACAGCTGTCAACCAAAGAGGCAGTGCCTTTAATTTTAACCATCATTTAACCACTATTTTATACTTATTTTACATTGTTTTCTCTCAGATTCGCTACATTTCTCAGACCCAGGGTCTTCCAGCAGAGTACCTCCTTAGTGCAGGAACCAAGACCAGCCGCTTTTTCAACCGAGGCCCTGACTCGAGCTACCCGCTGTGGAGGCTCAAAGTAGGTGACACAGATATGAATCCCCAAACGAGAAAAAACACTTCATGTACTGAAGTGTTGCTGTGGTTCTTTTTTCTGCAGACACCTGCGGAGCACGAGGCAGAGATGGGCATCAAGTCGAAGGAGGCAAGAAAATACATCTTCAACTGTCTGGATGACATGATGCAGGTGAGGAGTTATACTGTCTTAGAGACAGCTGCTGTAAGCAGATATTTTAAGTGTTGCTTCCTCTTTGGGGCAAAGTAGGACCCTCACAAACACACAAACATGGCCCAAACAGCAGCCAAAATGGCATGATGGCAAAAACTATACCCTAGATATTAGACAATAACAGTTTTTCCAGGTAAAGCCCCAGTCAGACCGTATCAACAAAGCAAAAAACTGCATCATTGCAACAAAGAAATTAAATGCATATGTCTGTTTTTTGTTGTATTTTTGTTAAATAGACCAACATTTGACTTTAGCTAATTTGGTAACTGTGATCTAAGTGTGTTAATGTGTAATAGGATAAGAAATAGCTCTGAGAGCGAGTGGTCAGGAGTTCAAGTTGCCCCTGTGACGTGTACTTTTTCTTCTCCTGATTGAGTTTTGCTTGCTTTAATGCTTCTTTCGATTACCTTGTTTAGCAGAGGATACACTGGACCTTCCTGTCACACAGTTCATAGCAGTACACAATCCAACAAACATTAACACCATTTCACGTCATAACCTGCTGTTATAGCTGTTGTTGTGTTGATACCTCTAATATGATCAATTAGTTTGTCTTCAGTCATCAAAAAGCTTAGGAAAGGCTGGAGCTACACTGAATCATTTAAGCAGGGAAACAAAATGATGCACAGGATGAGCAACAATGTGACAAACATTATATTTTCCCTTTTTCCCTTTTACTTAAATAACAACCTTGGGAATAATC